ATTTCTTTTTAAGAAAAATAAATTATGCATTCCTATTTGTTCTATGCGTGAGTTGCTTACTAAGGAAGCACATAGTGGTGGTTTGATGGGATACTTTGGTGTAGATAAAACTTTGACTATTTTGTCTGATCATTTCTTTTGGCCCACATGCGGAAAGATGTCATATCTGTTTGTGATAAATGCATTAAATGTAGACAGGCAAAATCTAAGATCCAACCTCATGGACTTCACTCTCCTTTACCCCATCCCCTCTCCCCTCTCACCCTTGGAACATATCTCTATGGATTTTGTAATTGGATTGCCTAAATCTTCTGCAGGCAAAGATTCCATATTTGTGTGTTGTTGATAGGTTCTCTAAGATGGCACACTTTATTGCTTGTGCTAAGACTAATGATGCTGTTAACATTGCTGACTTATTCTTTAAAGAGATTGTTCGTTTGCATGGTTTACCTAAGACTATTGTGAGTGACAGAGATGTGAAGTTTCTTAGTCATTTCTGGTGTACCCTATGGCATAAATTAGGGACTAAGTTACTTTTTTTACCACTACTGCCCATCCACAAACTGATGGTCAAACTGAGGTAGTTAACAGAACTATGATTACATTATTAAGAGCAATAATTCAGAAGAATTTGAAGAATTGGGTGAATTGTTTACCTCATATTGAATTTGCTTACAACAGGGCTGTTCATTCTTCTACTTCTTATTCTCCATTTGAAATTGTTTATGGTTTCAATCCATTATCTCCTATTGATATTTTACCTTTGCCTTTCTCTGAGCATGCTAACACTGATGGCAAGGAAAAAGCTAAGTTTGTGCAGGACTTACATGCTAAGGTTAAAGCAAATATAGAGCGAAAGAATGAGCAATATGCCAAGCAAGCTAATAAAGGCAGGAGACGTGTGATCTTTGAGCCTGGAGATTGGGTTTGGTTACATTTAAGGAAAGAGAGATTTCCTAATCAAAGGAAGTCCAAACTTCAAGCTCGAGGAGATGGACCTTTTCAAGTTTTGGAAAGAATTAATGATAATGCTTACAAGATTGATTTGCCTAGCTCTTATGGCAATGTTAGTGCCACATTAGTGTTTCTGATTTATCTTTATATGATTCTGCAGATTCGAGGACAAATCCTTTCCAACTGGGAGGGAATGATGGACCCCATGGCACGGGTGACATAGCATTAATGGCAACGAAGCCTGAGGATGGTAATCATGAGCATGGTGACATAGAAGGAGCCCAATACTTCCAATCCAACGTACCTAAAGACCCATTGCAACATATTGGAGGTCCAATGACAAGAGCCCGAACCAAAGCCATGAAGCAAGCCTTGTTCAGTCTTGTGCAAGAAGTTCAAGAGCTTGGAGAGCATTGGGGCACTCCCCTCAAGTCCAAAGGAGAGCATCTATACGTGTATAATGTATTTAAGATCCAAACTCATGAAGAGTCAAGCCCAAGAGATGCAGACCTTAACCCAATGCAAGGAAGACTACAAGTTGAGCCTCTTGCATGCAAGGAGGCATGAAACCCTAGTAAAGAAGTCAAGGGTGGTGTGATTTCAAATCCTTTATCATCCCTTGATTGTCTCCTAAATTATTTCCTATTTTAATGGTCCTTTGATTTGATTTTCTATTTTGAGTCTAGTCAAAGGTTAGAATTAATTATAATATTAATTTCTAAATTTTGTAATCCCATAATTTTAGGATCACATCTCCTAAATTATGTGGCTGAATATTTTATCATTATTTCTCCTTTTAGTATTAGGAAATTAGGGTTTTAATTTTAGGAAATATTTTTCTATGAGACTATATAAATTAGGCATGCTCCCTATTGTAAACACACGGAAGTTGAATGAAATTATTCATTTTAGAGTTTTATACTCTTGTGAGCCTTAGTGCTTTGTGGTGGTATCCCGTGTGAGAAACCGACGTGATCAAGAGCGTGATCAACTCTTGTGGTGTCTTCAAAGGTTGAGGTTCCTAGAGGCAGGTGCTCTAGAGGATCTTCTCCTTGATCATTATCCTATTGTTTACTTCATACCTTTCTTTATTTCCGTCATAAATTTCGTCCCTTCTTTTTTTTGTTCTTGTGTTTTTGTTGTTTCAGGGTTCTGTCCCTAAACTAGCATGATTCTGCTTCCGCGTCCCTATCACTAAATCCACAAGTATCCACTCAAATTTTGATAACAAGTGATCATTGATTGATATAAATTTTGATAAGTGTTTTCTTCATTGCTATTTTCTCTCTCTCTCTCTCTCTCTCTGTGCTTTCCATCCTCAGTAGATATGAGCTGATATGTAATGTGGAGCAAGATTTAGTTTAATTTTTTTTTTAAGTCCAAGACGAGTCAAAGTCATGAGAATTAATTAAAAAAAATACACATGTGGGCTTAAACGAGCCCTGCAGGGCCAGCTTGTTTAAGCCTAAATTAAATGGGCTTGAATGAGCTAGCCTGTTTAAGCTCGATTTATCATTTTGGGATTATATTTACAAGTTTGACTCTATTGTTATATGGGCTGACCTGACAGCGCGGCCCATTTTCCCGGCTCTAATTTTGACTGGGAGCCAATTCGAGTTTGGCATATTTAGATTGGGCTTAAAATGCTTTAACATATAAAAAAGTTCATATAATCAATCTAGCCCCTAACCTCTCAAGCTTTCAAGCTTATTTGAGTTGATTAGAATATTCCAATTACCTGATTTGTTAAATATTATTTTTTTATGTTTTATTTTTATTAATTTCAATTTTTATTTTAAAAATGAATAATTTCAATTTAACCTTATTTTTATATCATTTTATCAATAATAAAAAAGGAATTTGGATATTCAGGGTAAGTAGGGAAAGATTCAAAAATGACTATGGGGGCCAAAATACAAAATTATATAATTGTTGGGGTGAAGTTAGTTTTAACATTTTTTACTTCAAAAATTTGTGGCGGGGGGGCCAAGGCTGTGATAATATTAGAAAAACTTAATTAATAATCATTAAATACTTTATATTAAGTATTATCAATCTTTGGTGGTTTATAAATGAGAATATACAGTAAACGGCTATTATACTGCGTCCATGTGTACATATGTTTTCCCGCGAGACGTTCAAGTGGTTATATTATAAAGTATTTCTAATTATTTTATCAAAATTGAAAAGATGGTTAAACTATTAACTTCATTTTAAAATGAAAATTAATTTATAATTTTACTCGTATTTAAATAAAATTTTAAAATTGACATTACATTATCTCTCATAATAAATGAATTTAAAAAGGGATAATAATAGAAAAACTTGGTTAATACTAATTAATCAAACACCTTATGTTAAGAATCAAAAATCTTTAATTTTTAAAATACACTAATTAAAATTAACGTGAATAGCAGATGCTTGAATTAATTAGGAAAGGTTTACCTATTACATCAGAACATTTATCCAATACTTATTAATTAGTAACAATAAACGAGAGTAACACTAGGATAGATAATTTCTTAAAAAATTATTGTATTGAACCTCTTTTAATTAATAAAGGTTAGTCCAATTGATGAACATTTGGCCCATACTTCACAAGATTGTAGGATTAAATTCAACCATTAATATAAGAACTTTGTTAATAAATAATTTTTAAGTATCTTTATAAATTTGAAGACATGTCCAGACCTTAATAAATGTCCGAACTCAATTCTTTTAAACTTTTTAGCGTAACAAAAAATAATAGAGAATACTGATTCATAGGAATGCAGAAGAACAAATGGGAATAAACTTAGAATATTCTCATTCGAAGCATTCAATCCGTGGCGCCGAGAAAGAGGAAAACGTAGTCCGGACTTGAGATACATTTGAGTCAAAAAAGTAATACTATTCCGTACAAGGTCTCTTGTGATTGTCGGCTCCATTAACGGCTCAATGCTTGTGATTCGGACCACAGTTTAAGGCCCGCTGATCTTTAAGGCTCTCGTTGATAAACCTTTTGCTCGGATGTTGCTTCGCATGTGCTTGGTACAAGGGTCGCATAATTAAGCAAACTATAATATAACTCGTTTTATAAAAATTTAATTTGATCTAAAATATACAGCATTAAGTAAGTCTATATATATATATATATATATATATTTAGTCACACCCTTACTTTATTGAATAATTAATAAAAATATCTTAAACAAGTTAAAAGCTATATTTACTATACTTAAGGGCATAATTGAAAAGATATGAATTTTTTTTTAAAAAAATCAAGACTTTAACCCATTTTTTAGAAACATATGTTCAAAGAGAATACTTATATCTTTTAATTTTTTTCAAGCAAGAAAAAATTTATCCTTTTTAACCAGATATTTTTACCGCTTCAGTTAGGTGATTTGAAACAATTAGCCACAATCTTGAAAACATAAATAATTAATATTCCCTCCTTTTTTGAATATAGGAGGTTTTCAATCAACTAACACATTTTAAAAAAATTAGTTGATCATAATAATTATATTTAAAATTGAATTGTTTGAACTAAAATATCTTTGTAATTAATAATTAATATTTACCATTTATCTCTAATTTAATGACACTATCTATTTATGTGAGACAATTTTAAAAAATATAATTAATACTTTTTAAAATTTATAGTTTTTCTTACAATAAAAAGCAAAAAAATATAAGTTAATGTTTATTATATTTAAAATTGGAGTACTACTTATAATTTTTTTATATTATATATCAAAGTACTTATACACAGTTCTCAGTGTTATTCCGACGGTTATAATACAACTGCATCCACAGAAATCAGTATAGTAAAGTAAAGTAAGTCGGTGTTGATTTTACTTAAAAAAAGAAAAAAGTAAGTCGGTGTTGATTATTGAATTGTCTAGAAATTGAGAAACCATGACAAAAGCTCACCCAACGGTCACAAACCATGCAAAGTTGGTACTCAGAAAAGAAGCATTGCGTGTTTCCCAAACAAAGCCTACTTATCACTGTAACCACACTTTTTCTCCGATCTATATAAATGCTTCCAAAGTCTCCAACCTTCTTATCAAACACAAACACATTTCAATTCCTCTCTCTCTGATTATCATAGACAAAAGCATGAGCGTAGAAATTCTAGACGGTTCCACAATAGTGAGCTTTGTGGAGGACGAAGAAGCCTTTCACGTATCAGTCAGTGATCTGTTTGCTCAGCTTGATACTGACAAGGACGGTCTTCTGTCATACGGTGAGATGCTGAAGGAGTTGAAGAGGCTTAGGGTTTTCGAAACTCACTTTGGGATCGACGTGAAGATTGAAGCAGACGAGGCTGGTCGTGTTTATGATTCGCTGTTCGTGCTGTTCGATCATGACTTGAATGGAAGAGTTGATCTGAGGGAGTTCGAAGCAGAGACGAAGAAGATGATGATTGCTATGGCTCATGGCATTGGCTTTCTTCCTCTTCAGATGGTTCTTGAACCTGATAGCCTTCTCTTGAAAGCTGTTCAGAGAGAGTCCATGGCTCCACTTGCTGCTTAATTAATTATTCTAATTATAAATTTCAATCCAATTGAAAGTTACTGATGTATTGTGATTTCGTTTGCGACAATCGTCCGATTCAATTTTGGTTGTAATTTTCAGTTATCTTATGAATCCTTTATCGCAAGAGTTTTATACATGTTCAGTTTATCACTCATTATCAATTGTATATCTATGCGAATTATTTAATTTAAAGCAACCTAGAAATGTGAAATTGGTTAGTTAACATGGCTTTATTAATTTTGGTTAGTTAGAACTGAGAAATAATTACCTTTAAAAAGACAAAGTATATATCAAAGTATAACCGCTTGTTTGGTTTTGTTTGAAAATAGAAGTGAATCACTCATTGGGGATTTTTTGGAAAAGCCCAAAGCAAACAATGATATTTAATACAGTTAGATATAATATAATTAAGTTGAAAGAGGGTTATTAGTATATTGAGAGACATTTATAACTATTAATATTCTAGTTTGGATTAAAAAATTGACATTGAAATTAATTAATTGAGTTAAAATAAAGTTTATAAAGTTAATACAAGATTAGTGTCTCGATGTTGCTTTTTATTAGACGATTGGTCGTTGAATTAAAAATCTCATTGTATTTTATTAAATTCAATTGTATTATTTTTAGTCAATTAATTCGTATTATAGTTTTTCTTAATTTAAATAAAAATGAAAACCCTATTGTTTAGTCATGGTTTTGGTTGATTCTTGAATAACCTTGACGTATCATTATCTTATATTTTGAGCCATACTATAATAATTTGTGGGCATCATAGATACCTACAATTAACCAGAGTAAAAGAAAAAAGTTTAAGATAAAAAATTCATGACCTGTAATTTAGGATAAAAATTGCATTTTTGTGAATCTTACAAATGGGACAAGAAGGAGTAATGCTTATCATCCTGATGAGATTTGAACGGTTTAAATATAAATTTCTAAATTTAGATTTATACTTATATTTATATATCTTATTTTACATTTATTGAAATAAAAATTTGTAAATCTTTTTAATAAATTTTCTTTTTAGCAATGTATATATAGTCTATGTTTAATCTAAATGATTCGAGTTTAATATTAAAATTTTTTATAAACTTTATAAATTGACTGTTCAAATTTACTCTGGATAATCCATATATAAAACTTATAATTTTTTTAAAATATTTTTTAGAAAAGTTACCAACTTGTAGATTATTTTTGTTCTAATGTTATATTTATCAAAATAAAAATTACAAAAAAATAGTATTAAATTTAAATTATTCAGAGTACATCTAGATAATTAATTTATAAAAATTATAAAAAAATTAATATTAAATTTGAACCTTTTAAATTAAATCTAAACAGTAAAATTGGTGAAAAATAACTTTATTTTAAAAAATTATAATTTTTTATTTTGATAAATATAAAATATAAATATATAATAAAATTTTTAAAGTTTGGATTAATGAAATTAAAATTCATGTATTTAAATAATTCATATTAAATAATCTAGACAGCCCACATTCGTCAGGGCGACGAGAGTAACCCAGGACGGACGGTAGTTTTCACGGTCGGCGACCTATTTTCTACTGGAATTGACTTCAACGCGTCAACGAGTAACTATTAGCCAATCGATTTTGAATATGGCGGCCCACTGACTCGCAAAAAGCTAAGTGCTGTCACCTGAACCTGCCCCACGATTCTTGCCTTTTCTAACAGTTCAGTGCCTTAATTTAAGGTTGAAACTTAACATAATGAGTCCAAAAGTTGACGCGTATATCATGCTTTCAACCTTCCAGCTTTTTACTTTTTGTTTATAAATTGTTTTTAGCATATATTATAAATATATTTTTTATTACTTATAAATTTTTTTATTAAAAAAATCCTATTTGAGCACTAATTAAATATAAAAAAATTTTTAATAAAAATTTAAACCTTAATTCATTATATTATTATAAAAGACTAACTTCATTTGCTAAATTAATAGGCCTTCCCAACAGAGGAAGTATATTTGTGGAGGCAAAATATTTTTATAACATCAAAGCACTAAGTGACAGTTACAATACAACTCCACCATCCCTAGGGATCAATAAAGAAAGTCGGTATTTTCTAGGAATTGAAAACTTTGACATAATTTATCAAAAAGAAACTTTGACATAATGGTCACAAACCATGCAATGTTTGGTATTTCAAAAAAACTAAGAAAAACTACTTATTTATCACTATTAAGCACTATTGCTTCAACCTATATAAATGCGTCGACTAACAAACACCCTTCTCATCAAACATAAACACACTCAGATTCCTTTTTCTCCATTACAGGCAAAAATATGAGCGTAGAAATTCTAGACGGTTCCACAATAGTCAACTTTGTGGAGGACAAAGAAGCCTTTCACGTATCAGTGAGCGATCTGTTTGCTCAGCTTGATACTGACAAGGACGGTCTTCTGTCATACGGTGAGATGCTGAAGGAGTTGAAGAGGCTTAGGGTTTTCGAAACTCACTTTGGGATCGACGTGAAGATTGAAGCAGACGAGGCTGGTCGTGTTTATGAGTCAATGTTTGTGCAGTTCGATCATGACCTGAATGGAAGAGTTGATCTGAGAGAGTTCGAAGCAGAGACGAAGAAGATGATGATTGCTATGGCTCATGGCATTGGCTTTGTTCCTCTTCAGATGGTTCTCGAACCTGATAGCCTCCTCCTGCAAGCTGTTCAGAGAGAGTCCATGGTTCCACTTGCGGCTTAATTATTCTAATTCTCTTCACAAAATGAAAATCCAATTTATGTTCTTGGATCAGTTTTCAAAATTCTTTAGACCTTGTATTTTTCATTTCTAGTCATTTTTTGTAATCAATTTATTTCAATCCAGTTGAAAACTACTGATGTATTGTGATTTTATTGCGACGTATCGTCTGATTCAATTTTGGTTGTAAGTTTTTGTTATATTATATTATGAATCCTTTATTGCAAGAGTTTTATGCACCTGTTCAGTTTAGTCATTATCAATTGTATATCTAAAGCAAGCAAGAAATTAAATGTGAAATTGGTAAACATGGCATTATTAATTAGTGGGAAATGAGTGTAGTAAACGTAAAAGCGAGAAATAGTGACCTTTAAAACAACAAAGTATAAATGAAATATAAGGGTTTGTTTGGCTTGGTTCAATTTTTTAAAAAAACTATTTTGTAAACTAATTTTTAAAAATTGTTTTCCAAAATAAAATAAAATGAGAATCTTATTGATTATATTAATTTAAAAATAATTTTAGATTTTAAAAATAGTTGATAATGGTTATCACCAATAGTTAATGGTAATTATTTATGATAGGGGTTACTAATAGCTAAAGATAAATTTACAATAAGGGAGAATGATAGAAATGTCTTAAGATGATCAATTAATTCAATTTAGGTCCCAAATATCAAACTTTAAATATTTAAAAGTTTGACTCTCAATTTTGCTAAATTTATAACTCATGTTTTAAATTTTAACATGATTAAAAAATACATTAATTTATTTTTCTATTAAAATTTAAAACATAAGTTGCAAACTCATTATAACAAAAGTGCAAAATTAAAAAAAATTAAACTTTTAAATTCTTAAAATTTAATATTTGAGACCTATATTGAATTAATTAGTGTCTGTGGGACCTATTTATTATTCTCCCCAACAATAATCAAATAAATCCTTTTATACTTGTATTTTTAAAAAGAAAAAATAGTCTTTGAAAACAGACATTGAACATCCCGAAGTTCCTCATTGGAAATGGTTTTTTTTTTTTTAAGCTCAAAGCAAAAAATGACCTCTAATTTAATGCAGATAAGTCTTTGAAAACCCCAAAGCATCCTCCAAAACCGAAATAGGGAAACTTGTTTGGCTTCAAATACATTCTATGCAGTTCTTAATATAAGACAAATTTTAAAAGTTTTTTTGCCCTTAATATAGAATAAAGTTAGAATAATTAATTTATTTTTTAATTTTATTGTTTCTTTATTTGTTATGGTTTGAATTTCTAAAAAATTTTACTGTAGTCATTAATGGTAAAAGAAGGGAAAAATTGTAAAATTACATAGATTTTATCAATTTTAAGGACATGGCTATAATTTCTTAGAGAAGGCAAAGTTAGTCAAGTTTAACTTACATTAAGGATCAGCCGCTTATTGGAGATTTTTTTTCATTCACAATATAAGTCATTTATCTATTTTTTTAATTTTTAAATGTTTTTTCCTCAAATACCACTAGTTGATATTTGGAATATAATTAAATAAATATGAAAGAAATTGAATTAGAGGAAGACTCATATAAAACCACTACCTTTTTAATTAGGAGCAAATATAAGAGGTGCTTAGGGTGACTATGACTAGGTGACTCATAAAGACTCTACCTTTCAAAACAGAAATTGGGAATTAGTGGTGAATGAGAAATAATTAGTGAGCTTGCGTGATTACGGGTTAGCATAGTCTTGCTGGACTTCAAACATCTTTTGTTAAAATCAAGCAAAAGTTTACAACTAATTTAATAATATATATACCAACAATTATTACAAGTAAAAGAGAAAATTAATTACCTATCTTATAATTAGGAAAAAAATACATCTTTTTTAATTTATCTTATAAATCAAACCAGAAGGAATACAAGGTACTCTCCCTATTCTAGTTCATAAAAACAATTTTAGATATAGATAATTTAGTATTTCAAAATATAAATAATTTGATAAAAATATAATTTTATTAAATATATTTTGCTAACATATTATCTTTCCTTCTTTGTTATATTTTTAAAAATTTATATTTTATCTACAAAAACAAGATTGTAAAGTATAATAATTAATAAATTTTATAAAAAAATATAACTTTAAATCACTACACTTAGTTTTGTTATAGATTCCTGCATTTTTTTTGATATTCCAAAAACCTTATACTTTTATTTTTTAATAAGAAAATTAAAACATTAAAAAATAAAAATATAAAAATGTAGAACAGTAAAAAAAAAGTATATGAACATGTAACGAAACTCCAATAAAGTATGATAACTCTTTTTTGACTAAATACAAATATTTTTATTGAATGGCGTGCCGGTAACGCCAGTAGTACTCGTGGTCGGCGACCAATTTTGTCGAGGAATTGACTTCCACGCGTCAACCATTAAGTATTAGCCAATTGATTTAGATTATGGCAGCCCACTGACTCGCTAAAAGGAGCGCTCACACCTGAACCTGCCCCAAGGATTCTTCTTGCAGTGCAATGCCTTTGATTTAAGTTTCAAGCTCTCAAAGGGTTCTGGCGCCCCCCACCCAAAAAAAAAAAAAAAACCTCTCAAAGGGTTTCATACTGAGTCCAAAAGTTCACGCGTAAATCAAGTTTCCAGGTTCCCATTCCTTTTAAAAAAAAAATTGCTTAAAAAGACTTGACTAACATATTTATTATTGAAAAGGACTTGGCACATTAGGTTTTTAACTATCAATAATTTCAGGAGATAAATGACTTAATGCTTTATAATGGTTAAAAAAAAGAGAAGGTTGAACAAAGTCCTTTGCTGTTAATATGTCACATGAGGCCGTTCAGTAACAATTTATTGAGCACTGAAACATAATGTCTTTTAATGTTAATATGTTAAATAAGATTCTTCAGTATCAATATATCACATAAGGTCCTTCAATGTTAATATATATTTGTCTAATGTGTATCTACAACAGTTGATTATATATAATGGAAGAGTCTTGCATATGATAGAAAAGGCATTACATATCGTGATAGAAACCTACATCTATGAAAGAGTATTGTATATGAGGGAAGAGAGTTACGTATTGTGAAAGAAATATGCATTCATAAGAAAATGTTGCATATGTGTGAGAGTGTTGCATATGATAGAAGAAATATTGCATATTGTAAAAAAAAATGTACATTTATAAAAGAATGTTGTATATTCGGGAGAGTGGTTCCATATAACAAAAGAAATATTGTATATCATGAAAGAAATTTACATTTATGTGAGAGTGTTGCACATGCAGAAAAGTGTTGCCCATGACAGGAGAGTATTGCATGTGTGAGAGGGTGGTTGTTTTTAATGAAAGAAATGTGGTATATCATGGAAGAAATTTGCATTTATAAGAGAGTGTTGTCTATGTGGAAGAGTATTGCACATAATGGGAAAATTTTTCATACCATGGAAGCTTATATTGCATTTGACAAAAAGAAATCATAGCCTCTGTTTCTTTAATTTTTATGAAAAGGTAAGTGGACATTCTGAAAAATTTCTCAATTTTTATGAAAACGTAAAATAGATATTCTAAAATTTTTCTCAATTTTTATAAAAAAACTAATGCATATTCTAAAAAAACATAAATAAAAAAGAATCATAGCTACGTTTTTTCAATTTTCATGAAAACAAAAATAGATATTATGAAAATTTTTTGTTTTTTCATGAAAACACTAAATGATATTGTGAAAATGCAAATAAATATTTCAAAAATTTTCTTATTTTTTTTGTGAAAACACTAATGGATATTCTGAAAATGCAATATTTATTCTACTAAATGAAATGAAAGTGAAAAGCAAAATTTGATTCATAACAATGAATTTGAGTTAAATGAACAATGATCTTCCCACTCTTTTTTTTTTTAGCATTGGCTTTGATTAACTCAAAATCATATTATATTAAAACCTATTTCAATTATCTAGACTAAAGAGATACACACTTCGCTCATTTTCATAGATACTCTATTCTCTTTCTCTCATCTCTTTTAGCTTCTTCGTTTGACTTTTGTTGATTTAATTTGCAATCTTGCTTGCATATCGTATCAAAAGTGAAGCATTGCTTGTGTCATATCCCTTCTCTCATATTTGATGCTTGGCTCTTTGTTGTTGATAAAAGCAAAGCCAGCGCCTTGAAGCTTGGAGAGTATTCTAGTTTTGAGAACTTGAACTTCCATGTCGTGGCAGCATGAGATGCTTGCAAACTACTAAGCACATATCTTAACTTCCTCATCCTCCTTCCTCCTTGTTTGCACTGCAATTGCCCACACAATTAAAATACGTGCAAAAGCAATGGAAATGATAACTCCCATCACAATGTTGTTTTCCCTATAGTTTAAGAAGCTTTTATACCTATAATTTAAGGGTCAATATAAAAAAATTGCTAAAATTCAAAAACCAAGAAAAAAAAAAGACCTACTAAAAAGCCAACTTCATTTTTAAACCCTTCACATGTGTATAATATGATTTTTGAATATTTTTTTTTTGGAAATTGTGACAACTATATATGTAAATGTATATACTTTTGACCATACTTATACCTGATTTAATCAATGTTCACCTACATTTGACAAGTTATATAATTTTTATTTATAATATTATTAATTTATAGTCATGTTATGTCATTTTATTAATTAACAACTAGACATAATGTGGATTAATTTCTTTATATATATATATATATACATTATATGCATCTAATGCCATTTTATATTTAATTTTTGGAGAAAAATATATATGTAGATCTTTACAGTTTCCCTTAGTTTTAAATTAGATCCTTATAATTTATTTTACTTTAATCAAGCCCTCATAATTTGATCTATTGTATATGTTAACCTATATTTAAATCAATAATGAATTATTAAATTTTACAAAACAAAAATACTCTTGGAGTTTACAAAAATGATTTAATATTTTAGCCAAAATAAAAAAATTAATTTAATACACTATTTACATTTTTATAATTTTTTATAAAAATCATATATGTATTAAAAAATTTAAAAGACAACATAATTATATAATTTTTAAATTATAAAAACTATGTAATTAATTCTAAAGTCATATAATCATTTAATAAAAATATAAAAGTTATAAATTTTTATTTTTTGAAGAAAAAATTTAAGGATTTTACCTTTAAAGATTAAAAAATTTGATTGATCAAATTATAAGAGCTCAATTAAAATAAAATAAAGTGCAAGGATCTAATTTAAAATTAAATAA